TATATATATATCATTTTACGTTCGGGTTGTTCGACTGGTGGTTTATGAGAATTGGTTTATGAGGACTGCTTTTCGACGTTTGCACACACAATTTGGTCTGAAAGCAAAAGTCAACTGCAAATCGTTGAAACGCACCCGCAATGCGAAATCTTTACCTCTCGAGACAGCGTCTTGGGAGGCTGGCCTATAGAAAAAGGTGCAGCTCGGCGACTCGTTGGCGTCTGTTTGGTTTTTTGGGGAGGCGGGGCATTCGAGCAGCCTTGGCATGCCTTACGCATGCACGAAATCAAATTTACGTACAAATATAGTCATATAAATGGTTATAGCTTCCGATAGACAACTGGAACAGTGCCAGGCTGCCCGACTGCCTAGCTGCCAGCACGCCCCAAAGGTCTAATTGAAGCTATTAATTGTTTGGCTCGCCCGCGGTGGCATGCCACACCATTGCAGCCAATGGGGCGATCGTTTGCACCGTGGGCAACACAAATTGCACACCACACGCATTTTTCGCCTGCTGTGCTGCTGTGCGAATGCTAATTTACGCATATCAAATGCAACTTAGTTTGCAGCATGATCAACTAGAGCATGCCCTGCATAAGCTACGATTATTGTGTTACAGGAATCCAAATAAGAGTCAGACGCTGCGACTCACAGCAGGAATCAACTCTCTGCCTTGGGCTTTAGACATTCTGTTTGCCTTCAAGTTAATTGGCATTGAGTTCTATTTCGATAATAATGTAAAACTAGAGTATGTTGGCACCATAAAAATATTTATTTGCAGGACATTATTTGATAAAAATTTGAGTTTCTCTTCTCTTATTCTTTTAGTTCAAGAAGAGGGAGGAGTAACTAAATTAGATATAAAGCCAACATTTGCATTTATATACTAGATTTAATCTATGATTAGATCATTTATGAAATATCATAACTTCACTATTTTTAAATTATTTGTTTTAGTATGTTAATTGGCTATTTTTGCAGGATTTTTCAATTTCTTAACTCTTAAGTTAATAGTTCAGTAATTTTAAAATCAGACTGTAGATGTAGGAGACTCATTCTGAAAACTTGAAAATTTTCTATATTTCCTAAGTGACGAAAAAAAAAAATCCCTCATAAGTAAAACAAAATTCTAAGCTTAAATAAGCTAATATAAACATCCATAATTAAATAATTCTTTTTCTGCCTTTAAATATTTATAACATTACTTGCATTACATTACATCTAGTCCCCAAACTTTGTCGAACAATAGTAATTAACTTTTCAAACACCTCGAAGTTAGAGTATTTAAAGGCGTTTAGTGGCGTCGGAATAGCGCCGCGGGTGTTGCTGCCACAGCCACGCACCACATCGAGCTCTTGGCGTCGAACTTGTTTCGATTACCCAAAATATACTTTCGGTCGGGTAGTCGAAATATAATACGCATTTTTCTTTCGTAAAAAATGTAATAAAAGACGGCGCTTGCAGCTTGCCAAAATAAATTGGTCGCTTCCTAGGCAACGACGACTGTGCCAACAGCTAAATCTTACAGCCATCTACGATGATTACACTGTTCGAAAACTTGGAGTGTGTTCTACGAAGTTGATATATTAACTATGATGCAGCTTGTTGAAGGACTTAAGCACTTGTGTTAATGTAACAATATTTGAATACTTGCTCAAGCAAATTGAGTTTTAATTAATTTAAAAATTTTATGATCATATTATCTATGCCAAGATATTTTATTTCAAATTGAAAATTTTATCAATCGATAAAACTTTATTAAAATGTGAAGTATGATTTAATTCAATGCTCCAAATAACTGTTTAATTTATCTTTCCATACGAAAGAGTTACATTCTCTAGGGCTTAGAATAAATCAGTTTAACAGTAGTTTGACTTTAGTGAAATGTTATCAGAAGTACATATAGGGGCATAAAAATGACTACCAGCAGATTGGTGAAAGTATAGATCAAAGGGATACCTACATAGATATTGTATTTGGCCTTTTTCATATATTTAACTAAAAGTTATAATAAAATATATGAAATAAAAAGTTGTATAAAACATAGGCCGTAATTTTTAGTAGTGTATAATTGTGGACTCTAACCTGCGCCGTTAGGTGCGCAACTGTCGCTGGTAACGAGTAGCCTGTATGTTTATTAAATTTTTATATTTTAATTGTAAGTGTTGTTAGGCGTGAGTGTGTGTGTGTGTGTGTGTGTGTGTGTGTGTGGTTTGTTGTGTGTGTGTGTGTGTGTGTGTGTGTGTCTGTGCCAAAACTATGTGATTACCGGCCAAACAGGCGGCACAGCTTGTTGTCTGTTGTCGACCTGGCTGGATAGCTGGCTGTGTGGCTGTATGGCTGTATGGCTGTCTAACTCATCATCCACTATCGTGGCTGGCTATAGCTAATTTTATGTCTACGCGCATGCGCAGCGTTGCCAGAGTTTACAAATTGGATGACCAACGACGACAAGTGCGTTACGCCCGATTTCAAGACTTGGCTTTAATTAATCGGCCCAAGTCGATTAAGCCTGACTGTCCGGCTGCCTGGCTGCCTGGTTGGTTGTCAATTGTGCTGACAGATAAAGTCATTTGACATTTACAGGCAGCACATGGCACATGGCATAGCCTCTCCCCCATCTTCTCCCCTTCCTTGTAATCACCTCCGCCTACTTCTCTTGCATTTTTCAAATTTGTTGCAATTTTATATCGTATAATATATATATATTTTTTCTTTTTTGCGTACAACTTGTTGCATTCGATGTAAGCCAAAGTGGCGAAGCAGATAAAAAACGATTTATATGTGTCAGTCGCGAAATTAATTGGCCTTTTGACTTTGTCAGCGGCGAGTGTGCAGAATAGTTGTTAAGACCACAACTGATCATTTTTGGGACGTAACCATTTGACAGTTGTGCTACCATATTCGTACTTACCTCAAGCGTAACTAATTTATGGCCAAACATTTATCCATATCTATTTCATATCTATTGACAGCTCCCGTGAACTTATCAAAGCGGCCATTTTGGATAACGACTTCATGAAAAACTTGGACTTGGCCCAAATACGCGAAATTGTCGATTGCATGTATCCGGTCAAGTATCCAGCCAAGAATCTAATCATCAAGGAGGGAGATGTCGGCAGCATTGTCTATGTTATGGAAGGTGAGTCAGTGTATTTTTTAAATAATTAATAATAATTACATACGTTGAGTGGGCGAAACTGAAACTAATAGAGATTGCATAGGGCAGAGTTCCCTTTTTTTGAGTAATAAAAGAAGAAAGTTCATTAAAAAAATAGCTACATTTGATTTGGATTGATTTTATATTAAGTGAATGCGATTTCTTCGATTAGGGTAAGACAACTGCAGTGATAAATGCTATGCTATATAGCTTTAAGGATGTCAGATCTTCAGCAAATGCTATCTTACTTTTTTATAGAAGAAAAGTAATCGATTCAAGATGAATTTTAATGCCTAGAGCATTGCGTTATTCAGCTTTAACAACTGCTACTTTTTTATGATTGATGTTGATTAGCTATTTCTGTCAAATAATAGAAATTTTTATATAATTTTAGAAAATGTTTCAATAGACACAAAATACATTGTGTTCAGAAAGTGCTTCAACTAATACAGTTTTATAATTTTCTCAAATCGATTTTAATTGATTTGATTGATAGTACAGTACACATCCAACAGTCAAAATGAAATAATGCAAAAAAAGACAACATTTTTACAAATTCGTTAAGTTACAAACATTTCGCTTAAGGTCGTGTAAAATTTATTCGCAATGTTTTTAGTGTTGTGCAAAATTGTGAAATCTCTAAAGGAACAATTTCATAGACACTGTTATCTACTTTTAATATTTCTGAGACAGCTGCCAGCTCTGTTCCAAATGGGTATGTCAAAATGATTATTAAATATACATATAAATTCAATACTTTAAATTAACTAAAATAGCTGACACTTTTAAGTATGCAAAGCTTGAACTGCATTGAAATGGACTCACTTTACAGTGCCGCCCATAAGTATGCAATAGAATATATTCAATTTATATCAATTGCAACTGCAGTATTTACTCTTGTACTCCCTGCTGCCACTTCTGCTCCTCACTTGGCATTGGGTTGTCAGGGCTAGCCGCCCACGCCTGTTCTGTCTGCCGATCGTGCCACTCGTTGTGGCAGATAAGTAGCGCCTACTTTGGCAGCGCACGCGCAGCTGGCTCCAGTGCCCTCCCAGAAATGCGCATGCCTTGCAGTGCACACACCCACACAGCACTCAGCACATTGCACAGAGCGCGTCGAGAAGTTCACAAGCTTGGCTTGGCCTGGCTTGGCTGGGGCTGCGAAATGTCAGCGATCTGGCAGCAGCTTCTAAATTTAGTTTTCCTTTCAATTTTTCGTATACCCTGTGCGAATGTCAAATGTGGGTGGGATGGAGTTTCAGAACTTTTGAAGTAAGGTATTATAAAAATAAATTTTCATCATTAATTTGCTATAAATTGGTAGTTACATAAAAATTATAAAAAATCTGGGATATTTGATTCAAATTTTTGATTGCATATATATAACACGTGTGTGTATATATTTTTATATACCTTTATATATTTTAAGTTACTCTAATTGATTTATATGAAGCTGTACAAAAAACTCTTTAATTTCATATACAGAATACCTAACTGCAGGGTATCTACAATTTAGCATTTCGATTCGCTTCATTTTAACGTGTTTCTCGGACTTGTTACTTCAATTTTGTTTTTGTTTTCTTGGGTGTGCTTATTTCTAATTGTTGTTTTAAATATTTGCACGCCAATGTTCGAATTTATTTAGATTCGAGTTTAGGATTGGCTCCGGTTGTTTGCTATTCGTGTTAATTTAGTAGTCGAATTAATTCAAGCACTTTTTTTCGTGTTTAATTGCGTCAGCAACAAAGCTAATTGCGTGATGTACAAATTAAAAAGTCTCAGACTGAGTGCCAAAATCAAGAAGAAGAAAGTTAACATTGTGCTTCCTCATAAAAACTGAAACCAAATGATGATTCATAATAATGATAATGATGCTGTTGATGATGATCATGCAACAGCGTCGACAGTTGCTTCCTTAATCTGTGCAACCTCCGCACTTGAAAGCCGGCTGCAACAACTTGGAAGCCAAAAAAAAAAAAAAAAAAAA